TCAGTTTCATTAAAGCTCTATATTCTAAGGCAGGATGTTGAAAGAAACTGAACAAATAATTCATAATAACTTTTGTATCAACCTGTGTTTAGGATGGCTAAGTATTCAACTATTATCTCTCTACTTAACTAAGAACATATCTTAAGTTTTATGAAAAGACACTGAAGATGTAAATGAAAGCATTAGCGTTAAATAGTCTTCTCAGATACACTTGCATACACAAGAAAAATTTTTATATGTCTATACATACCAATAAAGACAAAGAAGTCAGGGCAAAGTTTACAATACTTCTTACATGCCTAGAATACAAGAGAAACTCAACACTCAATACGCTTTGCTGAATAAAACTCCAAATCTGTGGAAATAGACATGAAGTCCCCTATTAACAAAAGAGGTATTATCCTGTTCTGATGCTTCTGCCCAAGAGAAAAATGCCTCTAAGTAAAAGAATTTATAAATGTATGTATGCAACTTCCTCTGTAATTTTTCTTCCATTTATTATTATTATCATTTTATGATACAGTTCCATAGTCCCTGGGATTTCCCTTATACCCTCCCCAAATCCCTACTCCCACACTGAATTACCCTATATCATCATAATGAGTATAGTTCCTCATAAACAGTCGTAAGTCCATCAGTACGGGCATGTATAAAAGCAGAGTCCAGCATCCTCTTGTCAAGACATATTTAAAAGTTTCATTGGGAGTTCATTTTTGATCTGGAAGCAGAGATGCACACTGTACTGTCTCCTCAGATCTGGACATGTTAGTCTCCCTTCTTCTGTAATTAAAAGTATAAGCTGAGTATAAATCTCAAACCGAATAGAATGTAACTTTGAAAAAAATTAACTGGACCAGGTACAATGGCCTAGTGGATAAATCCTTGCCTAGCAACTGCCGGGATACTATATGGATGCCAGATCATGTCCTAGCTACTCCACTTGCCTTCCAGCTCCCTGCCTGTTGCTTTGGAAAGCAGCAGAGGATGGCCCAAAGCCTTGGGACCCCATGCCTGTATGGGAGACCTGAAGGAGGCTCCTGGATCCTGGCTTTGGATCAGCTTAGTTCTGCCATTGTGTTACTTGGAAAGTGGAACCTGTGGACAGACGATCTTTCTCTCTTAATCTCCTTCCTACTGTAAATCTGCCTTTCCAATAAAAATATATATTTTAAAAAATTGACCAAGATGATATAGCTTTCTAAACACAACTGATTTGAGCCAAAAGGTGCTACACAGTGGGACTGGGAAGACAACAACAACAACAACAAAAAACTCCACTATGGCATAAATCAAAATCTGATGTAACTTATAATAATCTTTTACAGGGAAGAAATATACAAACTCTTTTTGCATGACAAATGTAATAATGTAAAGAAATAACTCAAAAGAAAATAATTGTGGGTGGGAGATGGAGAATGTTTCTAGAGTTCTCTGAGTTGTTAAATTTCAAGACAGAAAGTCAAGAGGGACAAGAAAGTATTCCAGGTATAAATGTAAAAAGGAAAGAAGTCATCTGGAATTTCTCAAGAGTAAAGTGCAAGTGAGGAATCACACAAGAGGCTAACTAGCATTTTAACTAGTGGAATAATTTGGTGGTCAGATGGATAAAAGAAGTCATCACTTGATTGCATCTGTTTTCCCAAGGAAGCGAAGGAATCAACTCAAAATGGAGAGGAGGAAGACATCCTAAAGGCTAACGCAAAAAAAAAAAAAAAAAAAAAAAAAAAAAGAAAGAAAGAGAAAAAAAGATGTTGAATTGCCCTTCTGGGAAATGGAAGCCATCCCTCATCGCTGGGGACTGATGGGGTTAGGATGCTGGGAGCAGCCCTCTCCCCTTCTCTGTCCCCTTCCCCCAGATCAGGAAGAAAAAAAACTGGAAGCAATGGTTTCATCCACTTTCCCACATTCCTTGGCCAGTGGTTCACATGGGCATACATTCTTCTCAACTATGTAAATATCATCAAAGTAGAATAAATGTATTAAAATTTAAGAAAAGAAAATGGCAGACAGATGTGAGTAAAGAAGTATATGGAGAATGCCTGGTAGCTCTGGCCAGTCACCCAAGGTATGTGGTCATAAATTCAAAGTCCAGTCAGAATGGCTCCTTTTGATATTCTCAAGTAATGCAGATTTGCAGCTAATTGGGTTTAACTGAATTGAGTGTTTTGCTGAGTAAGGACTATTATACAGGCCATATGCATAGGAGATACAAGTGTTGCTTACAGGACTAGAAAAATCATTCTAAGCTGAGAAAGGAAAGCTATAAAGCCATGAGGAAGGTCTTAGTTAAAAAGATGAGTGAGAGTCCATTTGTTTATTCTGTTTAATGCTATTGCTTTTGGTGTATTTTAGAAATTCGGAACCTATCCTAGGTTTGCAGGGGTATTTCCTACATTTTCCTGCAAGAGTTTGAGGTTTTGGATGTAGGGTTTAGGTCTTGTATCATTTAGATTGGATTTTAGTGTATGGTGATAGTGTGGGTCTATTTTTTGTTTTTTAATGTATAGCCAGGTGTCCCAACACCATTTACTAAGAGTTTCATTGTTGAGTTGTCATTGGTCTTTTTGTCAAAGGATTAATTGGCTGTATTTGTGTGGGTTCCCCTTTTGGTGCTTTTTTTCTTATCCATTGATCTTCTCTCTCAAACTAAAGAAGCTTGTTAAGCAAGGGAAAACAATCAACAAAGTAAAAAAGCATCCCACAGAGTGGGAGCGATTTTGCAACACGATATAGGAGATGGGGGCTAATTGCAGGATTACAAGAATTAATACAAAACCAAAAACCAAAACAAACAAAACCATCAGAAATGGGAACGGAATGGGAAAATTTTCAAAAGGCCAAAGTCCAAATGGCAAACAAATTATGAAAAAAATGTTCAGGTCCTAGATTTAAGGGAAATCCAAATTAAAAATCGTTGAGGTTAACCACTAAACAGTAAGATGGCCATACCACGAACCCCCAACGAACGCTTGCTGGCGAGGTTGCGGGAAAAGGGAACTATCATGATGGGTGGGAGCTGAAATTGGTACAGCTTTATGGAATTCGGTCTGGAGTACAGTCAAACAATAAAATCTGATACCATATGGACAGAATTGCACTCCTAGGAATATATCCAAAAACACAGTTTTAAGACAAACACATGATCCCTATGTATTGAGCAAATCGTAATTGCAAAAACATGGAAGCAGAAATGATCAGAGAAGATGGATAAGAAAGCTTTGGTTCATCTACTCATGGAATATAATCCTTAATTAAAAAAAACAAATGCAGTTTTGTGGCTAATGGGCACAATGGAAATATATGCTAAGGGAAAAGGATCCAAAAGATGATAGATACCACATGTTGTTGATTTAATGTAAATTTTTTGTTTGGTTGTTTGTTTATTTTTTGAACCTGTCATAGATACTGTTAACCAGTGGTTTCGAAAGATGGAAATCTGATTATTTTAACATATTGTTAACCATTACTATGTCAATAATTCCATAATGTTTATAGATATGTGGACTTGTAGGGGTTTTATATGACGGATTTTACTTGTTTAGACCTATCTTCAGCCATAGCGGTTCCAAGAGGCCAATGAACTTATCTGGACATAAAGACGCTGAATTTATGTAGGCATGTGATTGAGAATGATTCAATGTATAGAACTATGGTTATGCAACAGGTGGAGGAATCAACCATGGGGGGTGGGGATGGGAGGGGTGGGGGGAAACCAGCGCCTATAAAACTGTACTACATAATACAATGTAAGGAACAATAAAAAAAAAAAAAAAAAAAAAAAAAAAAAGTGAAGCTGTAGATACGTTCAGGGACATCTAGAAGCATATGGGTATTAAAAGTTAGCAAGCTAGAATCGTAGGAGTTAGTGGCTAGAGAATGGGAGAGTGTATGCAGCTTTAGATTTTAGAGGTAAAAAACTGCTGACCTTGAGAAGGACATGAGTAACAGGAAGACTTTTCAAAAAGTATCCTGAAGAACTGTGGAGAACAAAATAAGGCAGAGGCCAATGTCATTAGGAAGCAGACATAAGGAAGCCAATGGACTTCTGGCCACAGAAGAGTGAATCCTGATTTGGATTTTCAAGGTGCTGAGGCTTCTGAAAGAGGCAGAGGAGGACTAGTTTGGAAGCAGCAGTATAAAAATAAAAACATACTCCTTTCTCCATATCCTTCAGGTCTTAAAAAAGTGAGCAAGTGGTGATATGGTTAGAAAGCAGGAGAGGCAATGTCTTTTAGAAACAAATTTTAGTTAAATAGAAGGTGAGTAGTTCAGAAATAGAGAATACAAAGTAATTCCTACCAACATCAATTACAAAATAATTCTAGTCAATGATATCAATATTTACTTGGCATCTACAGGCCATAAGGCCACATGGTATTGGATCACATTTAGTTTTCGTTTTAATCACCATTAGCAGTAACACTGGAGAAATTGAAATGCCAAAGAAAAAGGACAAAATTTTATATAAAAAATTAAAGAAAACTTCTGTTTAGTTTCATTTAGATGCTAATTGAACTTTCTCTTGAGAAGTTAAAGCCCACATTTCAGATGGAACCTCCTCCTTTTATGCCATTTTAAACTTCTCTAAACTAGTATTAAACACTGTAGTTTCATGTGTCATAACAAAATGCCATCTTATTTGTAAGGGCTTCATTTGTTCAGTCTGGTACTTACTACTCTCTGACAATGTATGGAGACACTCCTTTGGAGCCACAGTAGGTACTGAACAGTTTCTGATAGATCTGGTCTGGGAATGTCTATGTGAGTCTCATGCTAGGCAGAGACAAACCATCTATAATTGTACAAATAACTCGAAGTACTATTTGCCAATCTGTTAGATCTTTAGAGTAATGAACTGGGATTTTAAAAAGTACTTTAACATTGTTTTAATAATTCTTAAAGAGAGACCCTTCTGTGGGAAACAAAGAAAAACAAAGTTCTTAACTTAGTCAAAAGAACATGCCCCGCCCCTAACTAAAAAAATCCAGCCCAAAGTTTACCTCGATAGTAGGCCTTTGTTATTGCGTCAAATTCCTCTTGACCTGCAGTATCCCATAACATTAATCTGACATCTTCATCATTAACTCTGAAACAACAGATGAATTATTTCACATGTAAAGGACGTTGTTTTTAAAGGATGCATTTATTTGAAAGGCAGTTATAAAGAAAGAGAAAAACAGAGAAATCTTCCACTTTCTGGTTCACACCCCAATGGTTACAACATGCGGGCTGGGCCAGGCCAGTGCCAGGAATCTGAGTCTCCCCCATGTGTGGCAGTGCCTGAAGCCCTTGGGCCATCCTCCACTGCTTTCCCTGGTGCATTAGCAGGGAGGAGCAGAAGCAGAGCAGCCAGGACTTGAACTAGGGCTCAAATATGAGATACAGTGCTGGCCCCAGGAAAATAATTTTGATGATTTAGCTTTGTGCATATCTTTCTTTTAAATCTGAAGGTAATAAAACTACATGGCTTGTTTCACTTTGATAAAATATATTGATACTAACACCCATAGTGAAAATAAGCTATAACTTTACATATGATTTGGATTTTCTTGCAACAGTTTGTTCTTCAACAATCAGAGGTGATGGCTTTGAGACAAGCACTCTCATTACTGGGAAAGGGAAATTTCCTTAGGTCAGAGCTTATCCTTCCATTCTAATGGGTTCTCATATCCAAGAAATAAAATGATATTAAGAAGAGAAAGAAGCAACTTACCCGTTTGGTTGGCCTTTAAGTCAGAAATGTATTTTGTCATACAGTTTCATTCTTGTTATTCCCAGTATTTCATACTGTTACCATGGACACCAAGTTAGCAGATACTGATCTTAGGGGAAATATAGTTAGGGTCCTGAGAATTCCTGACTACTTTTTTTTTTAACTGCCCAATACATAAGCTTGTTTTCTGATATAAACTGTGAAGTTATCAACATTAAACTCATGACCAACAATGCTACAAACAGCACTATGTACTGTGGATAAACAAAGTTTATCTAACACACATATTTCCACCAGTCACATCAAAGCCTCCTTGCACTTTAGAACCTAAGACTACTCAAACCCTTAACACCAGAGGGCCATTCTGAAGAACAGAATCACCAATGCAAGCACAAATTAGAACAAGGTACCACACCGAACCCAAACAGGACACGTGTGCACTGCATGAGGGCTAACCGAGCAGGAAGAGAGCCTCCTAAATTTGACCTTAGCTAGGAAGAACATGTGGGCAGCTCCTTTGCATCTGTCCATAAATGACCAAAAAAATACTGGTTCTGGAGCCAAGTGTATAAACTTGCAAATATAGAATCTATGTATGAATAAGGAAGATACATTATTATATATCAATTTGTTTTCAATTAATAAATATAAAAAGTAAATGTCATCAAGATTTAAAAAAAGGAAGCAAAGTTGAAAGTATTAAAAAAAAGTAAAGATTAGGAATTAACAATTAAAAACAATGTACATAATTGTCTGTTTTGGTGTTAAAAGTCCAGGCAAGTAGATCTGATTTATTTCATGTTTTTTCTATAATATAGTTTACTTTTTCTCCTATAGTTTAAAGTATTCTAATAACAAAAAGAAGTAGTATTAAATATTTTAGAATCCACTTAGATTTCCTGAAACAGATTTCCCTTTTTATAAATTTAATCCTCCCAAATGTTTTTTTCTTACATTACAGTAAAAGCAATTATTGATTCTCTAGCTTCTATATAGTGATGTCCAGTTTTAAACAGAGACAGGTAACTTTCTGACAGAAACTTCATTAGAGTCAAGCAAACCATCTGTTTGTCTTTAAGAAATTTTCAAGGTATCACCAATAAATGTATAACAAATCTAAGCTAGGAAACAAGGAGGGAAGAATAAACAACAAGAGAGAAATGGAGAAAAAGAAGAAATTGAAAATAAAAGGAAAAAATAAAAATTTGTAACAAATAATTGAAAACTATCATCAGCTACTATGATCAACTCCTACCAGCTGCCTATTCTTGACCATACATTACTATTACTCCAAAGAAAGTTTTGTATGTAGTTCATAAATCAATGCTAAAGGGCTAAAATAGTAAAGAACTTACTGTATTTGTCGCTCCAAAAAATCAACTCCAATGGTTTTTTTGTAGTCTTTTGTGAAAATGCCTTTGCAGTATCGCTGAATCATACTTGATTTTCCAACTGCTCCATTCCCTACAACCACCATCTTGATGGCCACTTCCATATCCTCCTCCAACATTTTTGAAGCCAAAATGGTTTCTGTGCCAGCTAATTCCAGGTGATCAGGTCTTCTCTCTCAAGTCTGTGTTTTAAAATGAAATAATTTTTAATGACACAAAAACTGTATAAATAAAACTATAATTGTTCTATCAAAAAAGAATCATTACATTGCAAGACCCTGTTTCTATGACTGAGGCTCCCATTGTTTTATTTTGTTTTTTTACATTTTTGAAAGGCAAAAATTTTGTTTTTTACATTTGAAAGGCAGAAGTTTACCGACAGGAGAGACTAGGAGAGAGACTGAGATTTTCCATCCACTGATTCACTCCCTAAATGCCCACAATGGCCAAATTTGAGCCTATCCAAAGCCAGGAAACATGAGCCTCCTCTGGATCTCCCATGTGGGTGCAGAGGCTGAAGGAACTGAGCCCTCCTCTGTTGCCTTCTGTCCATAGCAGGGGGCTGGATCAGAAGTGGAGCAGCCAGGACACAAACTGGTAGCCATATGGGATGGTGGCACCATAGATGGTGGCTTAGCCTACCCACGCACGCCATGGTGCCATCCCCTTGAGGCCTTCTTTCCACCTCTTTTAGATAAACTGAAAGGTGAAAGTAGCATTTTTAATTTTGAATCCTTATCAACAGTACAATGGATGACATTCATGTATCATAATTCTCCTGTTCATAACCTGAAGACTAGGGGCTTGGGGTCAAAGCCTGACTATAAGCTGCCAGTTACTAGCTGTAGCTGACCTCCAAGTGAGGTTACTCCTTAACATCTTGGGCATTTTAGTGTTCCTGACAATAATATTTACCTCACAGGATTGTTGACTAATGATACATAGAAAGCACTAAACACAATGAAAGTTAAGCACCTGAAAATTAGTAGTTTTATGTAACATAACAAATCCTCCATAATGTGTCACCAAACAGGCAACAAATAAAACCTGAGGAAGCAGTTTTTCAACTTCACAGGTAATAATTAATTAATGTCCCTAGAAAATCACCCCCAAGAAAGGCTCTGTGTAATAACCCAAGCATGTGTCAGCACTGGGCTCTTAGTTACCCAGCTTTGGTGTTCAGGTTACAATGAGTCCTGTACAAATAAGCTCATACCCCACATTCTTTACTTTCAGACTATAGTTACTCACATAACGAAAGTAAGAAAATGTCCACAGTTGTCCTTTTAGAGTGAAAAAGAAAGTCAATTTGTGATTTCTAAAACTGCAGTTTGATTTCTGTCCATTTAGCTATTACATTCTATCTTAACTGAAAACCCATTTATATAGAAAGCCTACAATATGAAAAACATTACTTTCTTTGCTCCTGATAACATCTCAGCAACTTTCCTGGAACCTCAATAAGTTCCATGATCATAAGAATCATTAGGGAGTGATGTTTCTTGACTGTTCACTACAGGTCTAATTAGTCAGAAACCTGGGGGAAGGCCTTAGAATAGGATTTTTAGAACATGCCCAGAAGTGTGTGTGTGTAGTTTTCTCTTCAAGAGAGATGTTGGCTGGTTGTCTCCAGGGCTTCACCAACAGGATCAGCTACTGTGGCCACTCCTACCAAGGTCTCCAAGCAGGCCTGGCTCCTGGGGTCTGTCCTGCACGCTGGGACCGTTGCTGCCTGCTTTCTCTTACCTTGCAGTGGCAATAAAGCATGCAGGCTTCCTCCTGTATCCTGACAGGCATCTCCCCCCAGTGAGTCTCCTGCACTTGCAGATTGATGTCTGCTCCCTGGAAGACTGAACATCCCAAGCCATTCTCACCCTGGCTACACAGCACAATCATCTGGAGATTAGAGATTACACTCATGTGTGGATTCTGTCTCTGAGTACACAATGTAAATACTCTAGGGTGGGAGCTGGTGTTGTGGGACTCAAACCAGAGCTCCTAGAGGATGACAGCATTGCAGCTGGTGGCTTAACCTGATGTGCGACAATGCTGGCCCCTTTTCTTCTGTGTGCTCCTATCTCTCCCTGTGTCTCTGCTTTCAAATACATGTATATTTACAAAGAGTAATATATCACATTCATTTGGGCTTTATTGGGGGAATGTAAAACCATTCCTACACTCAGAAATCACTGTAGTCTCTCACATTCACAGACTCAGAAAGAAAAAACATGCCACCAAATCAAGTGATGTGGAGGAATGCTTCAAAAATTTGACAGCCATTTGAGAGAAAAACTCTCATCAAACTAGGACAAGAGTGGCACTTGTGTGGTCTGGTCTTAAAGGGCATCCATACTGTAAGTCCTGCAGGTGACTACATACTTGACTCTGAAGGACTGCCTGTCTTCCTGTTCAGGCAATGACAAGGTAAGGATGGCCCTCTCATGGCTCCTATCCCGTGCACACACAGTCCGAACCTGGGCAACAGGCAACAGAGACTAAAACCATTCCAGATTAGGAAAAAACACAAAGCTGTTTCTATTTACAAATGAGCTGACTCTGTAGAAAAACCCAAGGAATCTACCAAAAGGGGTGGGGGGAGGTAGGGTGAAATCTGTAAAACTAATGGAACAAAGCAAAGACCTAAATAAACGGCAAAGGCGGTAAAAACAGCAGCTCTCCCAAATGTCCTCAAAAGGTTTCAAGTGAATTTAATCAAAGTACTAGCAAGCTTTTTGCTGGGAGAACAAAAAACATCTTCTCAAAATTCCATGTAGAAGAGCAAAGGAATTAGAATAGCCAAAATCACTTTGAAAAAGAGTAAAGCTGGATGAAATCATACTCTCCACCCATAAGACAATTTATAGTAGCTAAATTCATTAGGACAGTGTGACCAGATAAAAGGAAAAACACATAAATCAATGGAATAAAACAGAGGGCCCAAAATAGAATTATAAAATACAGTCAACTGAATTTTGAGCAAAATGTTCAATGAAGAAGAGTCTTCAACAATGTTGATGGAACAACTGGACATGTGTATGCAAAAAAAAATTAATTTTTTATCTAAACTTCATCCTTTATGCAATGAACTCAGAATAGTCCACAGATCTAAATGTGAAGGTTAACAGCTTTTAGAAGAAAACTGAGAAGTAAAAAGATCTTCTGGCCCAGGAATTAAAGAGATATCAAAAGATCCATAAGAGGGGAAATTGATAAACTGAGTTTCATTAAAATTAAGAACATATGCCTTCCAACAGACTCTGTGAAGACTGAGAATGAAATTACAGGCTGGGGGAAAATACTGGCAAAACACATACCTGACATAATTTGTATCTGTAATACATAAAGACCCAGAAAAGGACCCATTTACAAAACTGGCAAAGATTTGTTGAGCTATCTCATGAATATTCAGAAATTTTGCCCATTAGTTAAATGAATATTAACACCACAATAAGAGACTGGTATGATGGCTCAACAGGATAATCATCCATCTTCAAGCGTCAGGATTCCATATGGGTGCTGGTTTGTGTTCTGGCTGCTGCATTTCCACCCAGCTCTCTGCTTGTGGCCTGGGAAAGCAGTGGAGGATGGCCCAAAGCCTTGCCACTTTACACCTGTGTGGGAGACCTGAAGGAGGCTCCTCCTGAGCCTGTGCTGGCTCAGCTCTGGCCATTGTGACCTTTTGGGGAGTGAACCAGGAGACTGAAGATCTTTCTGTCTCTCGTCTGTAAATCTGCCTTTCCAATAAAAATGTTTAAAAATCATTTTAAAAAAAAAACCACAATGAGATATCACTACATATTGATTAGGATAACTAAATTTGAAAATATTGCGCATGGAGCTGTGATCTAGCAAGTAAAGATACAGTCAGCGGCTCTGCCACCCCTTCTGGGTACTGGTTTGAGTACCAGCTGCTTCATTTCCAGTCCAGCTCCCCGCTAATGCATCTGGAAAGCAACGGATGACGACCCTGCACTCATGTGGGAGACCCAAAAGAAGCCACTGGCTCCTAGCTCTGGACCAGCCCAGCTCCAGGCATCGTGGCCACTGGAGGGATGAGTCATTGACAGAGGGCTCTCTCTGTCCCTCCCTCTTTCTGTAACTCTGACTTCCAAGTAAATAAATAAATCTCTAAAGAAAAAAAAAATTGAAAAGTACTGGTAATACTGAGTGCTGGGTAGGATGTGGAGCAACTGGTACTCTCACTCGTTGCTGCTGGGAATGTAAAATAATGCTGCCACTCTGGCAAAACTGACCATTTTAAGTATGATAAACGTCAGTTACCATATGCTCCTTCAATTCCACTCCTATCAATAACCTAGAGAAATGAAAGCTTGTGTTCACGCAAAAGCGTACATTTTATCACAATTCTAGTTTTAATCTGGAAACAGAAAACAACTGTGAAGGCCTTCAGTGTGTGGGTGTGCCACTGTGAACAAACTGGCACAGCCATCCAATGCTGCCCAGCAGTAAGAAAACACACCACCCAGACACAAGACGACCTGCAGTAATCGCGACATTACACTGGGTGAGAGGCCAGGATGTGCAAAAGTTACACACTGTGATGAGTCCATTGACATGACATTCCAGAAAACACCAGTTAATACGCAAGGGTTCCAAACAGAACAGGTGTGGTATGACAGGTCAGCATGCTTTCCAGGCAGGGAGGTAGAACTGTTGCAGTGGTGGTGACAAAGACCAATCATTTACAGTGTACTTCTCAAGAAAGATCAACTTTACAGTATGTTAATCTAATAAATTCGCAGGAAACATGAAATCAGATTATGTGATAATCTAATAAAATTCAGGTGGAACAAGAAATCAGATTTTAACACCAGCACACTGATGTTAAAATACTTCCATAGATTTAGAACACTTAAGCTTAACTCTGAGAACTGTTTAAAATATCAACAGTAATTCTAATATAAGCACTCCTCTCCCACAAACTTAATTTTTAAGATATCACAGAACAGTGCAATCTAGTAAGTCGAAAAAATCAGGATGAATTAACTCACTGATCAGAGGCTGCACTGCACTTAGGTAAGGGTATGACCCCATTTTGTAAAAATAAATAAATAAATAAATAAATACTGGAAAACTTCTGAGTGTTTAGAAATATATCCAGCTGTTTAGGCGTCATAGAAATCCCGGGGAAGTAAACAGCCCTCCTGAGTCTTCAC